AAGAATTTCTGATCTACGAACAGTGTGTGTGTTTATCCGCTCCCGGGAGGGCACAAACTGGTAGTAGTCATAGCATGGGATGAGATTGGAAGACATGCTAGTGCAAGGGTGTCCAAAGTCTGGCCCGCAAGACAAGTGCGGCCCGCGTTAACATTTCAACTGGTCTGCGGCTTTATCACGAAGTAATAAACACAGGCTTGGATATTTTTCATACATTCGTACTTTTGGTTATTATCCTATTGTTGGACTGAATGTGGCCCGACATATTTTTACCTCACGAAATGTGGTCCACCTAGCAAAAGATATGGACACCCCTGTGCTAGTGGGCGAAGCAATTAGTCCGAATCGGACCGCAAACATTTATGGATGGGGGTAATTCACCAGATTACAACTTAGAGTTTCCAGGAGGCTCTGAGTTACTACGGACGACTGGCACCAAGAGCGTTTGTGTGCATTTGGGCAGAATTTCACCCGCCGTCTTTTTGATATTTAGTACTTTCACTGTGATATGAATTTTGTCCGTTAAATATGCAAAGTCTCGCTAAGGCGGTTGCCGATTATTTACTTTCCGGTGATGGGATTAATGGTGATCACGAAGGGAATATGCAAATACCCGATGCAATTCTGCATGAAATATTTGTGCTGCCGTCACCCCACGTGTTGACGACCTGTAATTACCCGCATCGTGCCTAGTCATGCCAAAGTTATACCGCGGAGTGTAGTGGCGCTGTGGTGAAGAGCCATTTTCAAGACTACATCGAAATCAGCACTGTCATTGCTGCGCCATCTAAGAAGAGTTTAGATTTACCTCCCCTTGTTAACCACACTATCTTTTGGATCATGAACTGGCAAATTGTCACCGGGACCAACTAAAAGGTGAACGGTATAGGTAGAAATTCGTCACATCTAGACTCACTCAGACAGCCGCCACACGCCCAAAAAAGCACTGTACGCGCGTTTCATGCTTTCGGGAATCATTAGCAGTGCGCATTCCATCAGACCCTTGGTAGGGCTCGAACCGGCAACTCGACTGTTGCCAATGGTCTCAACCACGGATTGGCAACAGTCGAGATGCGGGTTCAAGCCCTACCAAGGGTCCAATGGAATGCGCACTGCTGATGATTCCCGAAAGGATGAAACGTGCGTACAGTGCTTTTCCGGGCGTGTGGCGGCTGTCTGAGTGAGTCTAGATGTGACGAATTTCTACCTATACCATTCAACTGCCCCTACTACTTTTCTGTAAGATGTGAACCTTACATGCTGCTGGGATAACAGCTGCTTGTTCGAGTGGATGTAGTCGACGGAGGGTTTACTTATGCCCAACGGTCACCGACGCAAGTGAACTATGGTCACAAGAGTCGGAAAGACAAATCGGAATTGGCTCAGCTTAGAGCAGACGAAGCACAGCTTGTTAACAGACAAAGTAAAACCAGTTTGGCTCCAACAGACGCGAGTAAACGGAGCGTGAAGGTTCATCAGCTCACACTGATGACATGGGATGCATTGGACTCTGATTCAAGGAGCAAACTGAGTTAATGGCTAACTGTTGACAGCAAAGCGAATCAGGTGTCACCCGCTTGAACTGATCAGGATGGCGCGTACTGAATTTAGTTGAACGGGAGCGTCCATCGCAAGGAATGGTAGGAAAGAGTTTTACGGCCACCGTTCTTTGGAACACTGTGGTATCAAATAAATATTGCAATAACTGTGTAGTCAAATGAACTGAAAATAAAATAAAAATTACGTTAGAATAAAGAAAACGCCTTATTGAAATGATAAGAGACAAAATGATGGTATACATGAAATAAATTTAATATTGTAATAAAAAGTAATGAACAAATATGGTCGTATACGTATTCAGTTTAGAAGCAAGCGTTTGTCCCATGTCATGTATTCTACATCCCTCCATGGCTCCACGACTGAATTTCGGCCAGTTTTGGTTCCGTGTGTTGGACGCTCCGGAGTTGAACGTAGCCGTAAGCAGAACACATCTTATGAGCAACGCGTACGAACATAGACCTCAGAACATGCCATAGCGAAAAAGGACCATTGTGGAGCAGTCGCAAGTAAAAAGTGCCTCCAGTTGTCGGATAATAACATGCCGTGATTTGCGAACAGCAAATCTTAATCACAGCTCAGAATGCAATTTGACGCTTGGAAGGCTACAAGGCAGTGACTCAAGGGGTTCAACATAAGAAAATGGTGACAAGAGGGAGCTTTTTGACAGGATTCGTCGCATATAGCCGTGGCCAGACAGCTGCAACACATACAGGCAATTGCTAGGCGGCCGGATTCGAACCTATGACCCTACTCTTACGTGCCAGTGACTTAGGCCGCAGAACAAACTGCCATAAATAATATCTTACTGCTACTTAGGGTGGCTCACCCTCCACTATCATGAATGGTATGATCGTGCAGAGGGAAAGGGATGCTCTAGGAGCCACAACAACCCTTACAAACCTCCACTAGTCGAGGCGGTATGCCAGCTGCCGAAGCGACTACTGGTTAGTAGAGAGTGGTAGAAGGGTTAGTTGCGTATTAGACGAACGTGGTTAGCATTGATCAATGGACTCCGGCGTTTTTGTTTGACTGTACGCTAGGCGTGTACGAGTTAGAGAAAAAAGGAACAAAAATATTGGAAATAAGGATGAAAGTGTATAAAGCAGAAACAGATAGCTTCTGTTTGCCACCCGACATGTTTACATAAAGACAATATGGGAAACGTACGTGAATAGAGGAAGAAACGAATGGTATAGGTGCATGAACATAGATAGATTTATTATGGGTTTCCTTCCAACTTCACAAATTTTGGTGTGCCTGTAAGAAATGCATGCTTGGATAAGCAGAATATGAAGAAGAGACAAAAATTGTTAGTTTAATCTCAGCATGCAGTTACTCTGCAGCCCACAATTTTTGGGGTGCCATTGAGGTGTGCTTTCTCGAGTAACGAAGTAAAGTTGGCTAGATAAATAATGGTGAAGGTGATTCTTTCAACTTTTCCTCTTCTTTTCAGGAGGGTTCGGCCAATCAAAAACCTTTACTTAGCACAGTGGATGCATGTTTGAAATCAGCACACCTGTGTCTAGGTCCCCTGTTCAATGAACAGCATCTCATTGCATATTAGTTGATGACACTTTAGGGTAACGTCATGGGTTCAAATCGGGCGGCGTCCGGAGGAAACATGGCATTTATGAGTCCCAACAGGACGAAACAGCCGTCTAGCGCTTCCCAGGATGTGCGGTGTCTATCTAGCTGAGCAAATATGCCACGAATCTTCTCAAAAGCCAAACCTGAATTGCCTTGAACTTGAACAAAGCTGTGGCATGTACATGAAAACATATAAAGCAAATGAGCATGCCGAAAGATCACGTTAGAAACACACACACTTCATCCTTCTCTTCAACAATCCATACCAAATTGTAAGCGCAACAGGAGTTGTGTAACAATGTACCGAATACTATAAGCCTTACTGCGCATCCGTTGAAGTTAGTGCACATCCTCTCTCGAACCTTTCGCCTTCCAATATCACTGGAAACTCATCCTGCCCGCACTGGATTTTATCCACTATACGCAATGGTGCCACTAAGTTGGGCATTATACGCATGGAAAGCCAAATCGAGGGAAGCTCATGAGTCGTGCCACGGTTCCCAGATTAAATAACCTATTGACACTGACTGGATATCGTCTGCTAGCAGCGGCAGGAGCGACTGCCATTAGGTTTCTTGAGCCTAAATTATGTGCCCGTAAGCAATTTGTCCAGGCACGTAGTCAACCCTGGCCTCTTACAACATTAACACAGTGTGGACAACTCCACGTACACGTAAACACATCCATGACTGTCCTTTGACAGTTATCTAGCTTGGTCAGTCAGACCATCTGGGCCTTTGAACTTGTGCTCTTATCTGACGCCAACTTCTCTGGCAATAATTTGTGGTGCAGTATTGTGATAAGGAACTCTTGAAAATAAGCATGTTTGCTAACTTTGATTTTTGATGTCCATACCTGGGATATTTTATCATTTTGGTAGATGTTATCGCTTGCACACCCTCTTCACGATGGGGGGTCCTCTCGAGTTATTGGGGGTGGGTTCACACAAATATCATAGCATGTCTTAGAGGTTGTCCACAATGCCGATGGAGAGAATGAAATAACCTGCGCCAACCAGAGTACTCGCAGATTTACCTGCTGTAGTGCAAAGGTCAATGCTAACATACCTGTTTCAGTCTCCGATTTCCTTGATAATATAACCGAGGGAATCAGATGCAACGATATTTTCGAGCAGTGTGTCAAAATGGAACAGGAAATAACAACAGTGCAGTCATTCAAAAGTGAGCTAGACAGTAAATAAGTGGCATAAAAACCAACACATTTCGCCAAACGCTGGTTACTTTACGTCGGTTTAGTTGAGCTGAACTACGTGGTCGCATAAATGCATTACCAGCCCAAACACCAGGTGTACAAATCTTCTTTCAGCAGCTTCCCTACTACACTTGTTTAGGGCGATTTTCCATTTGGAAAAATGTAGCGCTTTAGTGATGGGCTAGTCCTCATTGCTTGTAACTACTTCGCTAAACAAACAACAGCGTGCGCTTCTTCATCCCAAACTTGCCAATGAGTAGATGGAACTATGTACTTTGGCAAACATAAGCGGCTTCAATACAGTCATTGAAATGAGGCTCCAAATGACATTGCGCGAAGAGTTTACGCAAGAAAGTTGGTATCAGAATGAGTCACATTATATGAAGATTAGTAATCATCGGTTCCGTAAGATTCTAGTGAAATATGCACTACTGTCGATTCCTAGTGAGATGGAGTGGCCACGCAGGCTTTCTCAGATGTACGCCAGCTGCGGCCATAATCGGGAATTATTTAATGGATGGTTATTAAGTCTATCTAATACTGTGTTTATTTAAGACTACCATCGATTCGATCATTTAGCTAAACACATTAAAATAATCGTCTTTGGACAACATTCTCCCAGGGAAATAATTCTCACTTACCTTAGTTCCCACCTGATTTCCACACTGTCCCACTTGTAAATGAATAATCTCCCTCATTTCCTATGCAGACTGATGCTGTAGTTCATTCTAGTGCCCTATATATCCGGATTTGTCGCAAACTTACTTCCGGGTCCCATGGACTAATGACACCTGACTTAGTTGACCAGGGAATTGTCACGAGTGCAGCCACGTGTCGTTGGGGCGCGACGTGACACAGGCGCACTCGGTGTTGATATCAGGTGGATTGTCACATTACCTACGAAGCCAACGAAATCTGAGTCGGCACCTTTTGTTGATTCGTCACCAGCTTTCATGCGCAGCAAAAGTACGTAAGATATTGCACACCGAGTTACACTGGAGTCATTTATACCGGAGGCAATCAGATCGACTATAAATCCCTGCGCAATAATCTGCACATCAACATACATTAATAATCACCTCTGTTCTTCAAAAGCCACACGAGCACAAGATGGCGGCTTGAATGGCCAATGAAGTGAGCCTGTACTTTATTAAAAGCAATGTGAATCACGTTTTCTTGCCAGGCTTTCAATGAGCCCCCCTGTGGATAGGTTTAGTGGGATGTCCACTAAGTTGACGCTAAGCAATTACTCACTGAATGAACACCAGAAGTGCGAAATTATCCATAAAACTGGGGTGAAGTATACAGGGAGAAAACTTTGGGTTGAAATCCACTGTTCCATCGAACTCGGGATGCAAGCACTGGATACAATTCGTTGTGGCAATCGAGGAACATCAGTGAATGTTACGACAGATGTCCTACTCGCTCCATCTTAACCACCAACTTGGCCTGATAAAGATCTTAAACATAGTGGTTTCTGATTGATATGGACGCCCCACCGTCTGCAGTCCCTTACCAGCTGTCTTCACTTCAGACGCATGGCACGCTTGGTCCTCGAGTTTAAAACTAGCGAGACTCTCCAACCAGTCGTTAACCGTTTTGACTTGATGATTAAAGTGGTAGACGTCCCGACTAACTTCTCAACAGTCTCGGCTTCGGGGCTTGCTACCTCGCCCTTTGAGATCAAACAAGGTAGAAACGCGTAGAGGAGTGCTGATTTTTCCGGCGAGTAACCCTAAATTTCCATACACTTCAACTACGGTCCTACTAGTCAAATTAACCATTCTTTTCAGTGAAAATTGCCGTCTTTGTTTAGATTGCGCGTCTCCATCAAATTACTCACCGAATACTTCAAAATGATCCACCAATAAAGCTACCATACCCCGTACTTTTTGCCTCTACGAGTTGGGGGAGACAAATCTAAGCACAACATGACAAGCTCCACGCGGTTTCATGGGGCTTGTTCACAACATTGCCCAACTGTATCTGATGCTAAAATTTTCCGCCTAAGCGGTAGCGTTTGTCAACGTAATGCATTATTTAAAAATAAGCTACACCACCGCGTGACCGGCAATTACAAAGTCTCGTGACACACCAGATGAGGAAGTAGTCGGTACTATTCTGTCACAGACAATGAGCGATATAACCGTCAGGCCAACTTCGAATGCGGGTACTCACACTTATTGGTCTTTGAACTTACTTTTGCAGTCTACGATACCTATTAGGTTAGCTACAGTGTCAGAGAATCTACTGAGCAATGGCAGACTTGCACATTAACAGAATGTCGGCCGGTGGCCGAGTGGTCTGCACGTTCGCTTTGCAACCATAAGGTCACCGGTTCGAATCCGCGTAGGGATGGACGTCCTCGCGGTATACTCAGCTCACGTGCGACTGATGGTGGTCGCGCGGCAGCGAAGCTCCGTTACGGCGTACAGCTGACACATTATTATTATTGTTATTTATTACATTAACAGGATAATTCGGAAATCCAATGTGAGAGGAGGAACTCAAAAGCTCTGATGTATCTGACGCAGTAACACGCCAAAAAGATGAGTCTGGAATCGCTTACACCGACCTGCCCAGAAGAGACATCTCGGGACGAAGTTGAATGCCGATTGTCGGAATTAAAGGGTCTCATTTTCTCTCATAATCGGTTTCGAAACGTACATTCATAGTCACTAGGAGACCGAGGTACCGAGGCTCATCCAAAAAAGCACAAAACATGACTTAAATGAAGTAATAGAATATTACACGTGCTGGTACTGGACGCACCTCTTTCCCGCTAGTTAGAGGAGATAGTTGGACATAGTGGAACGTGACTGAAAGCCATGTATGAGTGCACCTTACAAAGGAATAATTCAAAAGCTCACTAGAAACTACAGACTGACAAACCCGTGCCCAGCGTCTCGGCCTAATATTATTCCTTTTCTAATAATTTTCAGCCCATATATTTTAACATGAGGTAAGAACATGAATACTTCCATCATTACTTTTTACATCTACCTAATGTTATTTCGCTTAACACGCTCAGATCTGTTGCCAACAATTGCCAAGTGTGTGAATGCTGGTTGATCAAAATGCGGACCTTAGCTATTCTGCTTTGTTTCGCCGACTGTCAAACAGACTGTCCGGTGTTTTCTCAAATTCTTTAAAATTACGTTAATTAAATCCATATCTGCTTAATTTCTACTTCAGATTGACTCTACTGGTAAATTTTTAATAAACTTTGCTTCATGAACCCCACTGTGCTACCTGCTGTGTACTAGTGCCCAAGTCTTTGAATTGACCAAAGGTAAGAATTACTGGTAGTTTATTTATGACTACCCTAAGCAAACTTCTTAATAGCATCAATACTGCGAAACCACACGAAGCAGGATGGCTAGATCATAAAACGGAAGACGATCAATGAAACAGAATATACTACCATAATACCCCTTTGGTTGAGAGCAACAGTTGCAAAATTGGGGTCCAATCTGATGGCAAGTTTATTCGAAGTCATCATCATCATCATTACACCTCAGCTGGTGGAAAACACCTCAGCTGTTGAACCGCAATACAAAAGACAAGAAAAGAAAAAACAAACAGTGCCGCACCCGCTGAGTCCCCAGTAAAGGATGGACATCGTTCCGGAGAGCTAACAGCTGGCTGCCGTAAAAAAGAGTCATATAATGCCTAACAAGTGAGATCGTGATTGGAGGGGGATGGACGAAGGAACTCACAACACAAACGCCATTGGGGCCGGCTCCAAGCCATATCAGCGAGTGTGTCTAACCAAACGTGTTCACCGTCCTTAGGACCCCAGCCAGGCAGTCGGGATGCACCAACCGACGCCAACTTCGAAGTGAGGGTTTTCATTTCACTCCACCAAGTCATCACTTGGCCTCCCCTCCTCCTCTTCCAACCGCACCCACAACGCGCAAACATTGCACGTCGCGGGAGTCGGTGTGCTGGCATGCGCAACACGTGGCCCAGCAATCGGAGCCTGGTGCGTGATAAAATGGTGCTGAGCGGTTCACTCGCTCTTCCTGCACCAAATACGCGACGTCGAACACGCTCATTGCGCACGCGGTGTTCCCACCAGACATGAGCTAAGCTGCGAAGGCATTATTCGAAGTAAGATTAATGGGAAAAAAGCCAATTTTCCTTATCCTTCCTATTTCAAAACTATTTTCTTTACGCTTAAGGTGTGTGAGCAAAATATGCAGACAAAGTGAAACTAGGTGTTAGGATAGTCTTATGGCGGTGATCAAAGTGAGACATTATTTGAAATAGACCACATCAACTCTGTCATATTCCTTTATGACTCCTACACTAGTTTTTTGGGGAAGACACCAATTGGTGCATTTTAATTAATTACACGTTTTGGAGTTTATAGCCAGAGGGCCTTAGTCCGAACGATACGTGCAAATCTCTGCTGGCGTCCTTATTGATTTAGAAAGTTTGAATCAGCGAATGTCATCTGATTTATCCTGGCTTCGGAGTCCTACAGAACTGACACTAATTGTTCGGAAGTTAACTTTGCAATATTTAATGCTTACGAAGTTGCCATTTTTTATCGGAAACCTTGTGCCAGAACAATTTTCTTCCTGCAAGCATCGTGCTATCTGTCTCACGTAAGATAGCAAAACACGGCCGTTTGGGTCTGCCCTTTCGCATCCAATCTGTGGTGACCAAAAACTAATAATACGTGCAAAACAAGAGACACAAACAATTTATGAATCTCTCGGAAAACGTTGCTCCGCTCCCGGCGCCCAAAAGGAGTTGTACACCCACTAAACGCAAAAATTTATCGGCACCCCCACAGAAACGACGGCGCCATGACGACACTTCGAAGAGGGGCCAAGTCAAAAAGAAGAAAAGGACCAATAGAAAATGTAACAAGGTAAAGCGTGTGAGTAATTCCAAAGCGCTCGCTGTCCGCAGCCGTGGAAAGCAAGCCACTCACCGAACCAACAAGCAACCCGATGGCAAGAGGCATGGCGGGAAGCCCGCACGTCGGTTGAGCAGTGGAAAAGCCATCATTCACCACTCAAAAATAAAGACTGGAGAAAATTCTACTTCCGGTCATCTGGGATGTATGGAGAACAATTCCACATCCGCTGGTGAGAAGAAATATGGTTCAGTGCCCGATCATCTCATAAACAGTAGTCAGGTTGAGGTTAAGGAAAATGGATTGCCTTCTCCACAAACACCCTCACAACAACGACAGCTGCAGGAAAATTGTACAGGGCATAGTTTGAAAGTCCCAGCAATTGTCAAATACTTTGTAAGAAATCACATGCATAAGGATTGTTCCCCTGGTAACCATCATAAGAAGAACACGAAGGATGCTTGTCGTTGTCTTGGTGACACCACTTTTGGTAGTAATTTGTCACCAGCTACCAGCTCGCAGGCGCCCACCTCTGACTTGATAACCGACAGTATGCTCTTGACAGACGCCAGCCCACTCTTCGTAGGTTCGTTTCGAGCCAACATCCCTTCAGAAATAGCTTCGATTGTCCGTTTCGCTACCTCAAGTGTCCGACACTTATGCAGAATTCGTGCATCGAGAAGAGTGCCTGGAAGCCAGACTTCGGATCAGACTGTTTTGGACAACTCCCAAAACGTCCTGGATTGATTGCAAGCAACCACTGGAATTAAGAAACTAAATCTGTAAGGTTCATGTTAAACATCTCCGTGGAGATACAACTCGGTGCCGAGAAAGTAGGTCATCCCTATCCTGTGTTCACCAAACTTTGGAGTGTGATAGATTCACAAGCAAAATGTGACATTTTTTGGACTGCACACCCCTTCAAACGCAAGACCATCTTCCTAGACAAAGATGTGATACTTGTGAATATAAGCCTGTTGCCACCAATTTGTTGGGTACCCAGATTCCCTTTTTAAACGCAATGACATCGCAACTTTACAGCTTGCCTGAAATCCATGCTAAAGAAACTTCTACACAGAGTAATATCGTCTCCAATGGATCTCTAATAATACAGTAGCAAGCAAAGTAACTTATCCATTCTTCATTTAGGGTTACATATGCTTGCAACCTGACGAATATGCGGTTAGCATACGGTATGATAGGGTGACGCAACGGAAGTAAATTTGGCACAACAGCCTCTGTTTAGTCAGCTGTCAATGGTACTTCCACACACGCAATATCTTGCAAAAGCAGACCAGTTGAAGGTGCTAATTGGAGCGCAACCTTAGTGAAACCCACGTGGATTTTAACAGGCATATAAGTTCAATATTCTGGAACATGCTTAGAGCCGATCTGGGAGTCAACATTTCGGAGGGTTCATGAATGTATTTGCTAGATTGTATGGAGGTAGTTGAGCTTACCTGGTTTATTTCCTAGATGAGTACTTTGTTTATAGACATGTCATCCCTTGTTTATATTATCGGTCCAAAGGTACCTTTCAGCTTCTGGACTTTTTGTTAGCTCACTGAACCAATTCGGTAGTCTACTTACATTGTTTGCCAGACCTGAGACGGGTTCTTGGCAAGAGTGGCCAAATACCCGTTAATCGGTATGTACTTCGAATACTAAGTCTAGTTGAGGAGGAAGAAGAAGAGGTAGGCATCAACATTACGTCAGTACACCATCCCGATGCTTCCCTGCCAAGCGACCACCACCAATTGCGCTAGGGTTAAGTATACAGCCGAGTGGTCTGCACGTTTGCTTTGCAACCATAAGGTCACCGGTTCGAATCCGCGTAGGGGTGGGCGTCCTCGCGGTGTACTCAGCCCGTGCGCGACTGGTGGTGGTCGCGCGGCAGCAAAGCGCCGTTACGGTGTACAGCTGACACATACAGCGAGGTCACTTGCACTCACTTGGATTACAATGCAAGCGCGTAGTTCTGTTGGCCATCGGCTGAAGTCAATCGCACACTAGTCCTTCGATCCTTTTATTTTTATAGTGCTCACCAGATCAAGCTGCTGATTTCTGTAGACTACACCTATCATATTGAAGATCTCTTTACTTGTATCAGTAAATGACTGGGAAGAATTCGCGCATTCTTATGCAATGCCTTCTCACTGAGATGGAAAGATCACAGGTTCGCAAAGTTTCTTCAGACATGTTCTCTGCTTTAATGCTCAATTTGTCCAAGGCATCGAAATGTTCTTCCTCGATCCTTTCAGTTAGTTTTCCAACAAATTGTATCCGGAGAATTAACAATGGAACAACTGGTCATCTATCTTATTGCAGAGTTAATATTTGGTTATTGCCAGGCGTAGTAATTATGATACATGTTAGTAGTGGGGTAGAAACTTATAACACCAAAACTCAGTTAGTCTATCATTACACAAGAGAAGAAACCTGTACAGCTGTTTACTCCTTTCGGTAATCGTCCGCAGTGCACATCCCAACTGACACATGACGGCTAGAACCCACAACTCGATTGTTATCAGTCTGTGCTGAAGAACAAGGAGGACGACAACGACCGAGGAGACAAATGTTTGATGCCATAAGGTAACTGATAGCTTAGGTTTAGTAAGTTCGTCGCTTGGTAAGGGAGCTACCGTATCCTCTGCACAGTCGTAACATGCAAATCAGTGGATAGTGAGCAGCGCCATATCGCACCTAATAACTTAGTCCCGTCAGACATTACGGTCCCCGTAGGCCAGTGACCTACACCACGGACTGATAACCGTCGGTTTGCGGGTTCTTGGCCCACAGGAATCAGATAGGATACGTATTGCTGAAGATACCTAAAAGGATGATACGGCATTGCGATGCTTTTCCGGGCGTTTGCTGGCTGTCTGACTGAACCTGGATGTGTTGAGTTTCTAATAATCTTTTTGAAACGCGAACATTATCTAGGGTATTGTTTCAAACACCGGAAAATCTGTTGTGAAAATAATAGAAATTCCATGTGGACTTACATGAAGCTTGGTCCTCCGTAACCTTGCTCAGCTGTTACGTGCCACTTAGGTTTTCGAGAAGGTTGGGAAGGGGTTCACATGCAGTTTTGATGGTAAGCCGTCTCATCGTGGTGCGTCTATACGTTAACTGCCATGCTTTTTAACAATGTCAAAGTGACCACTCTCTCCCTGAGGTTCAAACACGTCTCCATATTCTTCTGCATCTGCTGTCACGTTAAATACTATCAACCACTTATCAAATGCTTGAGTGCATACACAGCAAAACGTAATATTTTTTGCTATACGAAAAAATGACAGGGTTGAAGCTTGACTTATTGCAACGGTTTCATACCTCTGTAATCCACCGACCTATGGTATGTGGCACTTTCCAAGTTCTCTTCGAAGCGCTCATGCCAGTCATGTCCAGTTTTACGGGTTAGACTAAATCAAATTAAGCGTCCTCTTTGGACATTGGAGAGAGATCGTTGGCCATTTCTCTTCCTAAACTAGTCAGGGTAAACAACTGGTTATATTTTACGAATTTACATCTAGATTGACCGTGATCACGGGCGTTTAAGACAAACCGGTCGGAAACACATGTGAATTGTTCTAGGTCCTCGAAAGTTGCCTGTGACAGGCTACTAACGGATTCAAATAGGACACTGCAATCAAACTTGAGTTAGACTTGCACCCACTGCCTTGTGAAGCAGGTTATTGAGCAAACGCTTGCGTTGGATTCCCGTGGCCTAGAGGTAACGAGCCTGTCTCGTAATCTTGTGGCGTGGGTTCGAATCCCCGTGGCGGCGGGCGTCCTCGCGGTTCACTCTGCCCACTTGCGACTGATGGTGGTCGCAAGGCAGCGAAGCTTCGTTACGGCGTACAACTAACACATTATTTTAGTACTTTTATAAGCATACACCCCACTGCCTTGCGTGTCAGAATACTAAACCTAAGGCCCAATGTATAGCACCTTGAACAAAACCCCTCTTTCGAAGTGGTCAGTCGGAGGCTCTTATCTGTCGTCTACGACCTGTAGCCAATACCCCACCTCCTTCATTTTTTCTCTTCCCTTTTCTCTCTCTTCTCTTTTGCCTACTGAACAAGAAACGGCCGCTTACTTTACAACGGACTGTAGCCATACATGTAGGTTGGACTTCCAACCAAGGGTTTTATCTAACATTGGTTCGTTTAACTTCCGCTCTCTGAGTCAGCTCGGCAAACAGGCAGCACGAACGCTCTTTACTCACTTGGTATTGGTGTGTGCTGTGTCTCCGAAAGACATCCATGATAATAGTGTTATGACTAGTCTGCAACACCCTGGTTCAGAATCTGCTGACAAGGACTGCACTCTTCGAGGCTTTGGCAACAGTCAATGGATTAAGGTATTTACGGTCGACTCGACTGAGTACCTGTGAACCGTCTCATCTGTGTGGCTGAACTTCAAATCGCTGGTGTGAGGCGATCGATGGTGACAACCGCGTCAGCCACCGCGAGCAATAATGGACATCTTATTCGTAGGGTATAGCACTTTGAAGGGTCCTATATACGGCGACTGAAGAGGCTGCCTAACACCATCTGTGCGGAGGACGTGTGAACACATAGACAGATGCTCGGGCACATACATTGGTGTCTTCTGCGGTCGAGGAGCGAATGGGCGTAGCGCACGCATCTGATAAACCAATCGGTCTGTGTAACATCAGTAGTCAAGGAGGCAGTAGTTGGGCTGATGTCACGGGTTGTCCACGCAAACGCAGCATGCAGCCGTAGACAAGCTGCGCTGGCGTTGCTTCGAAGTCGGTTTCAACAGTGTTGCTTAATTGTAAGAGGATCATGAAGTACTTGCGTGCGCACGTAGCGCTGTCTTCAATTGGCGGTGAAAATGCTCTACCATGTCGTTAGCATCCGGATGATATGCCGTCGTCTGGACATGGCAACAGCCTGCATACTTAAGCAACGTGGCAAAAGTGGACAAGAAACGCGACCCTCTATCGGTGGTCACGATGGTGAGACAACCTTGCTGAGCTACCCAGCGCTCTAAAAATGTCTTTGCCGCTGTTTCCGAAGAGCAGTTCGGAATCCGAGTAGCCCCTGGCCAGCTGGTGAATCGCTCAACGCAGGTCAGCAGGTATACTAACCCTTTCGGAGGTGGCAGAGTGTCTAAGAGCTCGACTTGCACATGGTGAAAACGTGTGTCTGGTGTCGGAAACGTGCCTAGTGGGCTTTTCGTGTGCTTGTGTACTTTTGCGCGTTGAAACGGAAGGCAAGCAGCTTCCCCAATTACAAACGTCACGATTGACATGCCCCAGACGAATCGTGTGGTTACGCGTTTAACTGATGCACGAGAATAACCGTGCAACGTGCCGAACACGGTCTGCGAAACTCACGTGGGACGACTGGGCACTGCGTGCCCAGATATATCGCAATGGTTCTATCTGATGATTTCAGCGGAACGGATCGTATATCCAGTGAGAGAGACCTGCGTATTAGATGAAGCTCAGAATCATTGAGTTGCGCTGCGTTCATGGTTGTCAGGTCGATAGCGATGCCGGCGTCAGCGGAGATCGATCGAATTCGGGGAATGCGTCGGCGCTGGTGTTGTGCACACCTGAGGCAAGTCGAATATCGGTCGTAAATGACGTGATATAGTCTAGGTGGCGCGATTCTTTAGGAGATTATCGGTTGGTACTCTAGCTGAGCACATAAGTCAGGGGTTTGTGGTCGATGAAGACAGTGAACGTGCGACCTTCTAAGATATGTCGGTAATGACGTATGTCTAGGTAGATGGACACTACTTCTCTACCGCATGTACTGTAACGAGATTCGGCAGATTGCAGGTGTTTTGGGAAGAAAGCCAGCAGTTGCCTTGCGTCGCTTACTTGCTGCTGTAAAACAGCACCAACTATCACGTGTGAAGCGTCCGTACTGAGAGTGACAGTGGGGCTGTCGGGTCGAGATGCGCTATGGAAGCTACGTCGGCGATAGCTTCTTTCAAAGCTTGGAAGGCGGCACTTGCCGCTGCAGGAAAATCGAATTTCGTAGGCTTTCCTTGGAGTAGGTCCGTGAGGGGCTGCATCAGCTAGACGCAACTAGGTATGAAACGGAGATGAAAGTTGTCGTGAACGTCAAAGCGTCTCAGTTGCTTGAA